ACATGGCAGCTATAGCTGTGTCTGGAGATTCTCTGGATAGTGATAGAGAAGTCTTATTAAGCTTAAAATCGTACCTCGAATCTCTGAACCCGACGAATCGAGGAATCTACACGGAGTGGAAAACGGAGAAGGAAGGTGATGTGTGTAAATGGCCTGGAATCACATGTATGCCTCAAGGAAGTAGAGTTACAGGGATCGATCTGAGTGATTCCACCATCTCAGGTGCTCTATTCGGGAACTTCTCTGCTTTAACGAAGCTTACATTTCTCGATTTATCGAGGAACACCATCGAAGGATCGATCACAGATGATTTGAGCCGGTGTTACAACTTAAAGCATCTGAATCTTTCTCATAATATCCTTGAAGGGGAGCTTGGTTTATCCGGTTTGTCAAATCTTGAGGTTCTTGATCTTTCGATGAATAGGATTGCGGGTGATATTCATTCTAGCTTCCCGATGTTGTGCAACCGCTTGGTTGTTGCAAATCTGTCGACTAATAACTTTACTGGCAGAATCGACGACATCTTCAATGGATGTCGGTATCTGAAGTATGTCGACTTCAGTTCCAACGGATTCACCGGAGAGATATGGAATGGTTTTGGGAGGCTGGTCCAGTTTTCAGTTTCTGAGAATCATCTCTCCGGAAATATCTCAGCTTCCATGTTCAGGGGGAACTGCTCTTTGCAAGTGTTGGATATGTCCGAGAACGATTTTGTTGGTGAATTTCCAGGCCGAGTTTCGAATTGCCAGAATCTGAGTGTGTTGAATCTGTGGGGAAACAACTTCACAGGGAACATTCCAGCTGAGATAGGCTCCATATCCTCTCTCAGAGGTTTGTACTTGGGGAACAATAGATTTTCTCGAGACATACCGGAAACTCTCTTGAACTTGAGCAACTTGGTGTTCTTGGATTTGAGCAAGAACAATTTTGGAGGAGATATTCAAGAAATATTTGGGAGATTCACTCAAGTAAAGTATCTAGTCCTGCATGGGAACTCATACGTTGGAGGCATCAATTCTTCCAACATCCTCAAGTTACCCAATCTTTCCAGGCTAGATCTTAGCTACAACAACTTCTCAGGCCGGTTACCTGCTGACATTTCCCAGATCCAGAGTTTGAAGTTCTTGATTCTTGCTTTTAATAACTTCAGTGGCGATATACCACATGAGTACGGGAACATGCCGGGCCTTCAAGCACTTGATCTCTCCTTTAACAGGCTGACCGGTTCCATACCCTCTTCGTTTGGAAAACTAACGTCTCTTCTGTGGCTGATGCTTGCAAATAACTCTCTGTCAGGAGAAATACCTCGAGAGATTGGAAACTGCACGAGTCTTTTGTGGTTTAACCTGGCAAATAACCAGCTCTCTGGTGGATTCCATCCTGAATTGACCAAAATGGGTAGCAATCCTTCTCCAACGTTTGAAGTGAATAGGCAAAACAACGACAACATAATTGCTGGTTCCGGTGAATGCTTGGCGATGAAGAGATGGATTCCTGCAGAGTTCCCTCCTTTCAGGTTTGTATACGCAATCCTTACAAAAAAGAGTTGCAGAAGCCTATGGGACCATGTTCTTAAAGGGAAAGGTCTATTTCCTGTCTGCTCTGCTGGTTCCACGGTACGCACGCTTGATATTTCGGCCTATCTTCAGCTCAGTGGAAACAAGCTATCCGGTGAGGTTCCTGCAGATATCTCTCAGATGAAGAAGTTGAGTATGCTTCATTTGGGGTTCAATGAGTTCGAAGGTAAACTGCCTCCAGAGATAGGACAATTGCCTCTTGCATTTCTCAACATTACTCGAAACAATTTCTCAGGCCAGATTCCTCAAGAAATCGGAAACCTCAAGTGTCTGCAGAATCTTGATCTGTCTTACAACAATTTCTCAGGAAACTTTCCTACAAGTTTGAATGACTTGAATGAACTGAGTAAGTTCAACATCTCATATAACCGTTTTATATCCGGTGTGATACCATCGACGGGACAACTGACAACCTTCGAAAAGGAATCCTTTCTTGGAAATCCGCTGCTCCGGTTTCCTAGTTTCTTCAACAATACCGGGAACAACACGAGGAATCAGATATCCAACCAAAATATAAGAAACAGGCCAAGAACTCTTCTACTGGTTGTAATTTCTTCAGCTCTTGCTTTAGCATTTATCGCTTGTTTAGCGGTATCAGTTATTGTTCTCGTGGTTGTTAAGGGTTCACGAGAAGCAGAAATAGATCTCTTAGATGGCTCAAAAACCAGACACGACACGAATTCCAGTTCAGGAGGATCATCACCATGGTTGTCAGGAAAAATCAAGGTCATTCGCTTAGACAAATCAACATTTACATACGCTGACATTCTGAAAGCAACCAGTAACTTCTCTGAGGAGAGAGTGGTGGGCAGGGGAGGATATGGAACTGTTTACAGAGGCGTATTGCCTGATGGAAGAGAAGTTGCAGTCAAGAAGCTGCAGAGGGAAGGCACGGAAGCAGAGAAAGAATTCAGAGCTGAAATGGAAGTTCTAAGTGCCAATGCATTTGGTGATTGGGCACATCCAAACCTCGTGAGGCTGTATGGTTGGTGCCTAGATGGATCAGAGAAAATCCTGGTGCATGAATACATGGGAGGCGGGAGCTTAGACGAGACCATCACAGACAAAACAAAACTTCCGTGGGAGAAACGTCTTGATATAGCCACGGATGTAGCGCGGGCATTAGTGTTTTTACACCATGAATGCTACCCTTCCATTGTTCATAGAGATGTGAAAGCGAGCAACGTTCTTTTGGATAAACACGGGAATGCGAGAGTGACAGATTTTGGACTGGCAAGACTCTTAAATGTAGGAGATAGCCATGTGAGCACGGTGATTGCAGGCACAATCGGATATGTAGCACCCGAGTATGGACAAACTTGGCAAGCCACCACAAGAGGAGATGTTTACAGCTACGGAGTATTGACCATGGAACTCGCTACGGGTAGAAGAGCAGTTGATGGAGGAGAAGAGTGTTTGGTCGAATGGGCAAGACGTGTAATGACAGGTAACATGACAACCAATGGTTCGCCATTTACACTCTCCGGGACAAAACAAGGAAACGGAGCTGAGGAAATGACCGAGCTACTAAAAGTCGGTGTGAAGTGTACAGCAGACCATCCTCAGGCAAGACCAAACATGAAAGAAGTTCTTGCTATGTTGGTTAAGATATCCGGTAAAGCTGAGCTCTTCAATGGATTGTCTTCACCAGATTACAGAGAAATGTAAAA